TAGTATGCATGACATCTTGCATATTCAAAAGGTCATGATACAAAGTATGGTTATGAAAGGACATTGGTTAGACGTGTCCTGGTATTGTGAAGGAGTCAGAGGTATTGTAACCTTCTTATTGAGTTTATTTTTATACAGTTATTGGAATTTGGACTGTTAGATATCACTGAGGTGATTTAGGAAGTGAGATGGAAATTTCTCATATTTAGGAGGTTCCTAGGTAGAAGTTGTATTGGGTAAGGATTATGCGAGAAGTTGTAAATTGGGATTGTTTAGCCTTGAACTAATATGGCTAATAGTGGATTTCCTTTCTGGATTGGTAGCCCCCAGAGTAGGTGATGTTGGACCGAACTGGGTTAACAACTCTATGTGTTATTTATCATTCTGCACTTTTTATTTCTGTATCACTTATAGCTTAATTGATCTTGTCTACTACAAGATATTGTAATATTTGTCTTAACATCATTCTAATGTTGGGATATATGTGTGTTGTCTATACCAAAATTTCAATAACCAACCAACCTTATGGTGTCTTTAGTATTCCCAAGTATTGATGACAATATTCTTTGGGTAAGTAAAGTTTTCCATATCTTGATAGCCTCGGCTTGGTGCTCAGGAGCAAGGGCAGAAAATTCCCTTTTGAACCAGTCGGGCCCATGGCTTTGATTTACAAAAGGGTCCATTGGAGGAGTGAAGGCATGGTGCTTTGCAAATATTATGAAGTATTCAATAAAGGTGTCTCGCATTGAGCGTCATTTATCAATGATTTTACTTGAAAGATGGACATACCTAATCAAGAGAAAGGATAAGGTATTCAAAGTGTTTAAGAAGTTTAAGTCCATGGTTGAGCGATAAAGTGGTCAGAAGATTAAAATTCCCAACGGATGGTGGAGGCGAGTATGTCTCAAATAAATTTGGGAAGTATTGTGATGAAGATGGGATTGTGCATGAGGCTGTACCATCATATACACCGCGGCAAAATGATGTTTTCGAAAGGAAAATTGATCTTTTATGAATATGGTGAGAAGCATGTTAAAAGGAAAAAACTTGTCGAAAGAGCTATGTGGAGAAGTCGTTTCCACAACTTCCTATTTGTTGAATAGATGCCCTACAAATAATCTTGAGAATGTAACCCCAAAAGAGGTATGGTTTGGATTTAAACTAAATCTAAGCAATTTAAGAGTTTTTAGTTTCGTGGCATATCGACATGTTCTGGGTCAACTTAGAAAGAAGTTGGATGACAAAGGTGAGGTGATGTTACTTGTGTTTATCACCCTAATGGAGATTATAAGCTATTTGATGTTGCAAATAAGAGAGTCGTGATCAGTCAGGATGTTGTTGTTGACGAACTGAAGTGTTTTGAGCTACCTGGAACTGATTTGACAAAGGTGGTAACCAGTTACCAGAATCATGCAATCGGTTACAAGTTTAATTTTTTGGATTCTGAGGTAGTAGGAAGTATAAAACAACAACCCGTCGAAGCTAGAACAGAGTAAAATGTTAAACGATCAACTATGCAAAGAGGTTTGCCTCAAAGACTCCAAGATTTTGAGATATTCCGGGATTACGAGATCAATGATGATGAGGATTTCGTTCACTTTGCGCTTATGGCCGAATCTGAGCCTGTTAACATAAAATAGGCGCTAAGTAATCCAAAGTGGGTGAGTGCAATGAAAGAGAAGCTGAAATCGATTGATAAAAACAGTACTTGGGATTTGGTCGGTCTTCCAAAAGATAAGAAGCCAATTGGCGTGAGATAGATCTATAAAATGAAGGAAAATCCCAAAAGTGATATAATCAAGCATAAGGCTCGATTATTTGCAAATGGATTCTTGCAAAGAGAAGGTATAGACTTTGATGAGATGTTTGCACCAGTTGTTAGACTTGAAATAATACGGCTGGTTGTTGGTATTGTGAATAATAACAATTGGTTGATCTATCAAATGGATGTGAAATCTATGTTTTTGAACGGTTTGCTTGAAGAAGAGATGTATGTAGAATATCCCCCTGACTTTATTGTGAAGAATTAAGAGGATAGGTTCTACAAGTTGAGAAAAATGTTATATGGTTTGAAGCAAGCTCCGAGAGCTTTGAACAAACAGATATATGGTTTCCTAGTTGATGTTGGCTTCAAGAAATGTGTGTCCGAGCATGGAGTTTATATGAAGTCGGATGCAATTAAAGGTGTGATCATACTTTGTCTATATGTGGATGATTTATTGATCATAGGAAGCAATGAGAAGAGTATTTCAGAGTGAGATTATGAAAGAATTCGAGATGAGTGACCTTTCCATTATGACATACTTCTTTGGCATAGAGTTCCACGAGTCAAAAAGGGGACTGCTCATGCACCAAAGAAGATATGCACTTGAGATATTTAAAAGGTGTGATATGGAGCATTGTAATGTTGTCATTACACCTGTTGAAGCAAGGTTGCATTTTTCCAAAAGTGAAAAAGAGAATAACATAGATCCTACTCAATATAGGAGGTTGATTGAATCACTACGTTATTATTACTTGTGATACGCAGCCAAAATTAGCATTTAATGTTGGTATTACTAGTAGATTCATGGGGAGACCAATGGTGTCTCACTTGGCAGCAGTCAAAAGAATCCTAAGATACATCAAAGGATCTATTGGCCGCAGAATTCTCTTTCCCGCAGCGGATATGGGCAGAAAATGCAATGTGTTCGGTTTTACCGATTCCAATTGATGTGGAGATAAAGATGGTCGTAAGTCTACAGCTGATTACATTTTTATGTTCGGAGGAACACCAATCTCATGGTGTTCTAAAAAGGAATCAGTGGTTGCACTCTCGTCTTGTGAGGCCGAGTATATTGCTGATTTGTTATGCGTGTGCCAAGTCGTATAGTTAATGAATATGTTGGAAGAGCTGGACAACAATGAGAGTGAGATTGTCACACTCTTGGTTGATAATGTTTCAGCGATTAACATTGCTAAGAACCCGAATGCACATGGGAGGAGCAAGCATATTGAGATGAAGTTTCACTACTTGAGGGAGCTTGTTAGTGAAGGCAAGTTAAAAATTGGAATATTGTAGAAGTGAAAACTAAGTTGTTGATTTGTTGACTAAGGGAGTCACAAATGATGTGTTCAAGAAGTTGAAGATGAGCTTGGGCATGGAAGACTTGGATCACTTGAATTAAGGGGGTGTGTTAGTTGAAAAACGATAATTCAAGTGATATAACCAGTTACGCAATAGTTGGTAACCGGTTACATAAGCTAAAACAATCATAAAATCACTTATGAGAAAAATAGCTTATTGGTGTCGCGGTTACGCAAAAGGTGGTAATCGGTTACGCATATGTTAAAATTGTTGTTTTTGGTTCAGTGGTAACCGATTAAGCCAAATGTGGTAACCGACTATCGGCCCGAGTTTTTTGTTTTTCAGTTGCTTTAGTTGATGTTTTTAGATCCCAATTGATGTAACTTGCTTGCATAAATACCCTTTGTGATATGAAATTTTAGTTAATGATAATTTCTCTTATCGCTTTCTCTCACTAATTCTCTTCTTTTCTCACTTCATCTTCTCCACAAACACCAAAACCTCCATTGATTCACCAATTAATTGTGATGTTCTAACACTAATAAGTTTGTTTTGCAGCAATTTAGAGATGCAGATCAATTTGACGATTCCCTAATATTTTGAAAATTGAAAAGATGTATTAGGTCCACTCCATAAAAGATATTAAAGAAAATGTATATAATAGAGCTGGAATTAGGGGTGTAGGCGGGTCAGAAAAATCAAATAAAATCAACAATCCAAATCAAACCAAATCAAATAAAACCAGTTGTTTTTGGTTTGGTTCTAAAAATTGAACCGAACCAATAAAATCTGATGTGGTTTGGTTCAGTTATCGGTTTTAGTTTTTAGAAGTCGTCAAACCGATGAATCAAACCAATAAAAATGACTACACTCGAAATCTTTTATTCCACCCTTCATTAACCCCAAATTTTTACCGATCCAACAATTTTCCATTTTTTTGTACTTCCTTTCTTTAAGCAAAACACACATCTAGAACCAAACTCCAAAGTATAGAAAATAGAAACCATAAATCATATAAAATTTGCTTTCACTGAATTGTTTTTCTCGCTTCCCGCCACCATTGTTGCTCTCACTGTTGTCATTATGATATGTTACGATCGTCTTCTTCATGTTCAAGTTCTCTTCGTTAGTTTTCAATTTTATATCTTTTATGTTTCTTCTTCTTCAACAAAATTCCTTCTAGTCTTGTTACGAAATAGTTTTGATGTGTGTTTTAGGTTGGAAACATGTTAATTGATTTGTGCTTTGCGGTGTTCTATTTGTTAATCTTTCAAACCCCTTTCCAATATTCTAATGTCAAGTGTTAACTTTTATATTTAATAGTAAATTTATTTCATAATGTAATAAAAATTATGTCATTGTTTCATATGAATCAAGAGAAACTTGTAATTTGTTTGAAAAATAGAGCATAAAATAAATTACATACACTGTATTATTTTAAAAAATAATAGCTTAAAATACACCAAAAAACACAATAGTGTAGAATACACTGAAAAATATAATATTTGAAAAAAATATTATAAACTGATCAACCAAATCAAACCAAACCGAACCAAACCGATTAGTTTGGTTCGATTCCATTTTTTAAAAAATGTTTAAAAATCAAACCAAACCAAACCAAATCGATGAAAGTGTCATTGGTTCGGACCTTTTTTTGACTCAAAATCGGTCCAAACTGGTCCGATTACACCCCTAGCTGGAATCCGCCGCGAGATAATCATACTATCACTTTCTGTGTTAAATTCTACCTTCAAAATTTCTGATATTTACAATGACCCTTATAGTTTCATTATTACTCCCCGACCCAATGATTCCTTTCAAAACTATACTATACATCCTATTATAGATTGAAAACTCCGTGGCACTTCAAATTCGAATTACAGGGAATTTGAATTTGTCAGCATCAAAAATGATAACTAGATTGGTCATGGTTTTATGAGAGCCACCATTTTTTGCTCTTAGCCCCTTTGAGCTTCATTACTAGCTCTTCACGCTGAGATTCTACCTCTGCATATTTAAGGCTCATGTGGAAATATCGATCCTGAATATCTCTCAACTCTTCTTCTAGCATTGATTTTGTACGTTCAAACTTCTCTCTGGTCACTAGTTCTTCTTCAGCCATTGATTTTACTGGGACATTTGCTTGGTTGTTTCGCCCTTTAGGTGACGACCTACAGGATTAACATACAAGAAATATTTATAGCTAGAATTTTCAAAAGCCAATTTCATACTTATATATTTCTTAATGTTGTTGCTCCAAGCCTACAGACCAATAGCAGAAACAAAATAAAGAGGCATGCATAATGTGTTCCTCTGACCTGTTAAGTTGAACTTCATATATGTCACTGGGTTCTTTTTCAAGTTCAGTCTCAAGCAATTGAGTCTTTGATACTGGTTCTACTTCAACCATATCAACACTTACATCAAGAAGTCCATGATCACTTTCCACCTATGAAGATAAAGAAGACATGAAACAAAAACATGTAATTTCCAGTGAGATTGCAACTATTTGAAACTGTCACTTTGGGTCACACAATTGAATGCACAAAATATACTTTTTAACATTTGTAAAGGAGGTAAAATGAAATAAGACATCACCTCAGTCTGATGTTTGCTGCTGTAATTAAGGTCCTGTTGATCTTTCAGGACTTCTATGTCATTCTTTGAAGATGGCTTTTTCCTATTACTGCGAAGTTGATTGGTATTCTTAACCATAGAATTATGCTAAATCAAAGACATAAAATTATTAGTGTCATCAACTCACAATGATATCATGTAATTAATGAAAAAAATGCACTAACTTTTGAGGCCTTCTGATCATCGTTAACAGGTTTCCTGTTTAACCTTGAAACTTGATTTCGCTTTTGCTCCTTAGTCAGTTTTAGTTCTTCTTCAAGGGCCTGAACTTTTCTCTGTAACTCAGTTTTTTCTTGGACACATCTTGCTTCTCTTGCATTCAAGTCATTCTCTAACTGCACAAGCTTTTCTTCTAGGGATGCTCTAGTTTTCTTGCAGTGCTCCAACTCAAATTGACATGTTTGCTGCAACCGAACATTCAAATTTCTGGATTCATCCATGTATTGCCGGCTTTCACTTTCAGTGACTATAAGTTTGGATTCAAGGGCATTTATAGTGCTTTTGAATTTCAGTTCTTTTGATTTGTAGTCCTCCACCAGCTTTGACAACTTTTCATGTTCATCCACCTGCATTTCCATTTTAATTTTGAAATTGGCAAGTTCAGTTGTTAGGTCTTCCAACTTTTGTTCGTATTGAGACTGCACATTATTAACCTCAGTCTTAGATAAAATCAATTTAGATTGAGCTTCTCCAAAAGCAGATTCCAGTTTGGCTTTATCAGCACGCAATGTGGATACTTCAAGCGAAGCATTGGAAGCTACTCTCTCTTTTTCATCATAGGCTGCTGAAAGTTTCAATCTAAGATTCTCTATTTCTAGTTTAAGGTTCTGAATTTCCACCATCTTCTCAATTTGCATCTGATTCAATAAGCTTTGATCGTGCTCCATATGCTTCCTATTTTCATCCAAAATACCATGCAGCTCTGAAGTTAAATCCTTTTCTTTAGATGCGATATCTTCCAACATTAAATAAAATTTCTTTTCTAGGAGTCCCACTCTACCACAGCAATCAGAAAATCTTTCACCTGATTCCCTCAACCTATCTCCCATAAGGGAGCAATACTCCTCTAACTCCAACTTTTGCTCCCTCAAGTATCCATTTAGCTTCTCAAATGAATTGCATTCTTCTTCAAGATTTTCAATGGTAATTTGTAACTGCTTATTTTCTTCTATGGAAGAATCCATCTCAGACTGCATCTCCATAATCTTCTCTTGTAGCCTTGCAGCTTGTTTTCTAGTGCCCTCTAGTTCTGATAATAGGGACTCTTGTTCATTTGTCAAGTCACCCACTTGTACTTCTAAAACAGAAATCTGCATTGACAGTTGTCCATTTTCTTGTTCTATATCTGATCTGTGGAGATTCATTTCATGTGTTCTTTCTTTTATCCTGTCCTCAATGTGTTCCTCTAATTGAAGTTTCTCTTGTTCAAGATTATACACCTTGGCTTCCAACTCACTCAGGAGCTTCTGAAGAACCCGCATCTCATTTTCTTTACTTGATAAGCTAGCCTCCAGGTTTTCCATCTCAGATGTTTTACTAGTCAATTTGTTATTCTGATCTGTGATTCTGACTTCTAGTGATTTGGAAGTCTCAAGCTCTCGAATTGAAATATGACTATCATTACTAATCTTCTTAGCATTTTCCTCCTGGATCATATCTTCTGAATGGAATATTCGAAATAATTTGTTGCTTACTTCAGAGTCAGAGCTAGAAAAAGATTGACTGTGAAGCATGTTTGACAAAAGATCTTTGGATGCACCTCCATCTTTTGAATAGGCCTTTGCTTCTTTTAGCTTGAATAAAAGGTCAAGGTTTTCATTTGTCAGCTCATTACAGTCCATCTCAAGTTCTTGAACTTTCTCTTTCAGTTCTTCGATTTGTTTCAAAATATCTGCATCAGGTGCATCTCTGGACACAGTCTTGGCATTAAAGGTTTCTGGGACAGATTCTAACAGCCTTCCTTTCAAACTTGAAATTTCCTCCTCTTTAGCATATAACTTGCTTTCATATTCCATTTCAATATCTGAAAGTGCTTTGTTGTTTTGAATCTTTGCTTGTTCAATGTCTTCAATTTTATTCTCCAATGCTTCTTCCAATTCTTGCACCTCAGCCATCAAATTTTTCTTTGATTCCTCTAGCTGTTCTATTTGTTGCATAAGGATCCTATTTCCTTCTTCACTTAGCTGGAAAGATTTTTCCAGAGTTTTGAGTTTTGATGGTAATGATGAAAGGTTTTCTATATCAAGTTTTTGTTGTTCTATGGTTTCTTCCAGCTCCTGGAGAACAGCAACGAGCTCCACATTTGCTTCTTGGCTCTTCTTTAGTTGCAAAGACAAGTTGGCATTGGACTCTTTCTGAAACTTTAATTCATCTTTTAGAGAATTTTCAATTTCTGGAATGCATTCAATTTGAGATATTGAATCTTCCAAAGTGTTTTGTCTCACTATTGGATCTCCTGATGAAAACGTTAACTGCTCAACTTCTTTTTTCAAACTATCACGTTCTACATATGCTGTTGAAAGGTCCGTTTCCAGGCCTGTCATCTTTTTAGACTGATATGAGAATTCTGTTTTCAACATCTCCAAGTCCCCTAATAGCTTTCTGGCGTTCATTTCCCACATCTTTGCTTCTGCCCGTAGCTCTTCACTCGTGTCTTCTGCAACTTCAGGACTGTTGTTAGAACCATGGGTCGTCTTAAAAGATGATGCACCAATGTCTTGCATATTTTGGGAACTAAATGATGAACGATTCGACTGAGAAGTGTTATTAACAGGGTAATCGTAATGGGATACACTTTTCTGGGAACTGGTTGAATCTTTTCTTCCCGTTGGACTCTGCCCGTCACTGATGCATGGGGAGAAGTTTCCCCTTCCTGTGGAATCCTCAGCTGAGTTATAGCTGTAATTTGATACAGAACCAGAAAGACTTGTTGCCTGCAGCCAAGGTACAGTGTCAGTCTCATTGTTGGAACATCAACTTGTAACAAAAGAGAAAATAAAAATGCCAATGCAAACAATGGACGCATGATATTTGTTTAAGCAGTTCGGTAAAGTGTGTTCCGTTTGCGACTACAAACCGGCTATAGTTTCGTACTCTGCCCCTCCCCCTAGCCTTCTTATGAGACATTTGATATTTTACAATAATTTTAGTATTTAATAAACATTTTATGATATATCAAATGTCTTATGAAAAATGAAACTAAAAAGACCAGTTCAATTCTAATCATTTTAAATTAGGTTGAGTCCACTAGGATAGAACCACTGAATGATCAAGTAAAAGCAATGATTGAAGTTTCATTTAGTTATAGGCACAAAGAATTATTATTTACCAACATGTATGCACGGACAAAAATTTAGAACAATATGTGCAAATAGAACACCGATGATATGAAAATGTTCCAATTTACCATTGTTTCAACTTCTCCTGGCGATAAGGTAGAGTCCACGTCATCAACAGAGGAAGATGAAACACTCTGTACATATGAACAATCCGATCCATTTGACTTGACAGATACTTCATGATTATTTTCATTCATAGCCTTCAAATGAGAATTTTCTTTGCTTGATTCTTGATCCCTGAAAATTTGTAAGAGGTCAATATTTAATATAGTAGTACTAGAAGACATTATCATTACAATAATATTAAAGACTACACTTCAATACAAACCTCAGTTTTATTCTTGGTGTAAGGCACTGCATTGTTACCTGCAAAATGCATAACCACAGAATTTCAAACTCTAGGTTCAATGACATTTTGTAGCACCATAGTTCCTACTTAAGTACATGTGTTAATCTATCTAACTGAAAGAACCTTAAATATGGGAAGAAGACCACTCTATATGTTTTTAAGTATCAAATATTTTATTTTTCAATTCAATTTTAGCCAGCAATATATTCCAGATTTGTAGTGTTCAATTTTCCCTTAAATTAACAGAAAACAACTTGGAATCGAATCCAAAATGACACAAATAGGAGTCACAAGAGAAATATCTTTTTTCTTTGTTCAGTCAAGTAAGAATAAGATATAGTTGAATAGTCTGACTCACATTCAAAACTGTCCCATGGTTGCACTTATTTAGAGGGATTGAAAGTGGAACAGCAGCATCTGAATTCACATAGCTGGTCATACTAATTGTGACCTCTCCCAGGATGCCAGATCTTAATGATCCCTGTTAAATGGTATTATTTATTTAGTGCTTCAAAAAAACTTATTAATAATCCAAGCAGAGTAGTTCAAACTGATAATAAAACCAACAGCAAAAGGTGTGCAATACATAATAGTAGAAGAAAACAGAAATAGTGATAGCAGTACCATTGCAACAATAAGCTTGAAGAGACAATCATCCTTCTCCTTGGACGACGTATCTCTAGAAACCCATATAGATTCTGATAAAGTATCAGACCACTGACAACTTCCATTACGCACCGCCACTTTGCTAGTCTTTGCAAGCGTTTTACCATTTTCCACAGATACAACTGAAACAAACAACCTGTCCCAGCCCTTTGGTACCTGGTAACATTAGAATTCAATTAACATTTGCTATTTGCACAACTAGCACTTTCTTATTTGAATTTATCTAGTAACATAATAAGCACTTGTGACACTATTTGGAAAACCTTATGGAAAGAGTTTATGACATGTCTCTAAGCTATTTTCAGCTTAGTTCTATAAGCTCTCCACAATAGCTTATGAAAACAACTTATATAGCTTATATGAAAATAGTTTGACTTTATGTTCTATTATAAAAATAGCTTATGTAAAAGCAATTATATGAGAAGTGATTTATAAGTATGAATATCAAAACAAATAAAAAATTACGCTGTAAGTACTTAATTAAGTTGTTTATCTAAACATGTAGATAATCTTGGGGGGCTATATCTATAATGTATAATATCATTACATTCTTTAACAATATTAGTACTTCACTTATGTCATTTTATGATTTAGTTATGTTCTAAGTTTTTTAGTCCTTACTACCGACACCTCTGAAAAATGATGTATACATATCGGTGTCAGTTTTCGAAACCGACACTGACAATTGTGATTATCGTTTAATTTATTCATATTTTTCAAATCATTACGAGTCTCGACGTGTCAGTGTCGGTGTCATGTTTCTGGTATCCGTACTTAGGACAAAAATAGCATGGAGCATTGTTCTGCATTCCATCAAAACAAAAACCTCAATACTAATGCAGCTATTCATAACAAAACACCACGATTTTAATTTTTAACCTTCAATTTCATAAAAGTTCAATTCAAAACACGTTAATGCAAACCGTAATTCTCACTAATTTCCAAATTATCATTGCGTTTGATACATCATAATTAGAATCTAAAACGTTCATCACAATAAACAATTCTAATCAAGCAAAGCACAAATCAGAAACTAAACTAAACTGAAAAAACGAAGAACAATACAAAATAAAATTCGAAAAAAGTGAACGAATAAGCAACCTGAAGTGCCTTTAGATTCGAAATTCTGAACTCAATTCTATCACCTAATTTCCCAGGCTTATGCTTATGAAGCTTAAACATTCTCTTTCTTTCTAGAAACTTCCTCTTCACAATTCACACTTCACAATCCCGTTCATACGATTAAGCTTTGCGCTGGTTCTTCCCAATCACGTTCACGATTTTAATCATCTTCTCCGTAACCACCATCACCAACTGTTGAAGAAAAAGAGCGTTAGCTAACTCGTCGTTGTAACGAAAGGTGTTATTTTATTGTTACTTCAAACCATAGCGGGAGCGAAAAATAACAACCCAAATTAAATGAACCACAATTCTATATTCTTTTTATTTATATTATCTATTAAATTAATTAAGTAATAGTCATCCCATTTATATTTATTTACATTTACTTTAGTACAAAATTTAATTTTCCGGGCGCCGATACTATACATACGTAACCATAATAACAATGGAGTGTTTATCTTAAACTCATTTATTTATTTTTGAAAGGGAAATTCTATGTGCTGACGTGTCGGTAGCTGGTTGGGCAAGAATGTGAAAGTTAATAATTTTAGGATGGAAGCGGTTGTAGGTTATTACTGACTGCAACAACCAGCGCAAAAGCATTAGAGAACAAAAATGAACAGGCTGTTTTGTTTGTGAATGATTGTGAGGGGTAAGATAATTTTATAAGTTATAAGTTAGAACAAGAATGTGTGTTGTGTATATTTGGATATCGATACAAAAATGGGATATTCTAGACTCTAGAGTGCAATGATGGATTTTGAAAGAGACTTTGCATTGACATTATCGGGATTTCATGTGTGGTATATTCAATTGGGAACTTTATTTTTTTGACGAAAATCTTGTGCATGATTGTATGACCTAATATATAATATTTAAATATGCACAATTGTATATCTTAATTTTTTAAATTAGACATATAAACGGTAAAAAAAATTCAAGGTTACTTTCAAAATTTATTACACTGTGACATCAATAAACCTAGAGTTTGGAACTGCACCATCAATAAACGAAGAGTTTGAAAATATTTTTCTCGGTGACAAAAATGTTGCTATGTTTGGGAACTATAACAAGTTGTAGGTTAAATTATTAATATCCTATAACTAAATTCATATCTTCCTTTCATCATTGTAGTGTTCTTATTCTCATCATTGTAGTGTTTTTATTCCTTTCTCCTATCTCTTATTTCCTTATTCATCTTTTGTGAGATTTGCAGTTTATTTTTATTTTGGACTGGGCCCACCTTGGCCTAAAGTGCAAATAAAGACTCAGATCCAAGCAGCTTCTCGGGGAGTGCGCACAAGCGGACCATCACCAAACGTGCCCGACCACAGACTACAGTTGCAATGCCCGCCGTTGCCCACAACGAGCAGCATCTCCGACTTGGAGAACTCCAGCTCGAGTCTGGCTCGAGCGTCATCCCCGGAGGGCAGATTTTGTCCACTCTAACCGTTATGGATCTTCAAAGCTCCGGAAAGACCGCGTCTTCGTTCTTCCTCATTCTTCGCAGAGCACCATCCAGGAAGGGGACCACGTGTGGGCCCCCACTACACACGTAGAACCTGGCAGTCCCTTTATTGGGCCAGTTCTGGTCGGCCCAGTGAAAGGACCTTGACCCAGCGCTGGGGGCTATAAATACCCTCTACTTCAAGAGGGTCAGGTATTCATTCATTACACACCTACGTATTTTTGCCAGCTCATTCCGTCTCTCATTTTATCATCGGAGTGTCTTGTAGGTACCCCCCTCACTCCATCCAAATTTATTTCGAGCCAACTGTGACGGTCCAAGTTTGATCCGGTAAGATCAGTTGCGCCGTCTGTGGGAATCTAAGCTTCCCCGTCTTACAAACTTTCAAAGATCAAAGCTAAAAATCACCTTCCACCGTCATGGCTGACCAAATTCGGGACGACCAGAACATCCGCGTCGTCGATGCCAACAACAACCTCGCGGACAAGAACGGAGCCCCCGACAATGCCGGAAACACCGGCCATAATATATTCCCCGGAGGCGTCACCCCCGGGCCCTCAGGCCACCGGGACAGAGCCACTGTCTCATCTTCTTCAGTCCCCCATCCGCTCGAAGAAGACAATACAGCTCCCACAAACCATATAGTCGCCCAATTCCAGGAGGTCCATGTCCCCGTCGGGGCAGACGCCACGACCAGAGCACTGTTCGCGGCAATCAACCAGACCAATTACCTCATCTTTGCCCAGGGGGAAAGATTGGGGGAGCTAAAGGACGACAGAAGACCCCCAAGGAGACACAGGAGGCCTCAGACCCCGCCTCCTCGAAGAACAGAGGTACGTCTCCCCCGCGGAGACAATACAGAGACACCTCCTGAAGCCCATCACCCCGACAACCGGGGAGACGACCCCCCTTGGAGAGGGAACCAATCATCGAAGCCAGAGGGCGCAACCACGACCCTTTACGGCAAGAACGAGGACACCCTAGAGACATGCACGGAAGGACAGATCAACGAGCGCACCGCTCGAGGGACGTCCAACACGACCATGGCCGTCATGCCCGACAGTACCTCAGGTCCCCGTCCCTTCCCCCAGAGCGAAGTGACGAGGACGACCCCCACGGTCCCATGTCACAAGCCATCATGGAGGCACTTATTCCCCCGGGCATGGAGAAGCCCCCTCACCTGAAGGAATACGACGGAGTCACCGACCCGGTCGATCATATAGACGGGTTCGAAGTTATGCTACACTACCATAACGTTGGGGGACCCATCAAATGCCAGTTATTCCCCACAACCCTCAAGAAAGCAGCAATGGATTGGTACAAGGGTTTTGCCCCGGGGTCTATCACGTCGTGGCGAAACTTGAAAAACCAATTCATAAGCTCATTCACCGCGTCACGGCGACATCCAAAGATCGAAGCGGCGCTCGAGGCTATCATCCAGAGGCAGGATGAAACCTTGAGAGAATTCATCAACTACTTCAACCGTAAAGCCATCCAGGTTCCCTGTGCGGACCACATGAAAAGATACTTGTTGGAGAGGGGACTCCTCCCCGGCACAGAGTTCAGAAAAGCAGTGGGCATTGAACCTCCCCGAACGTTCAATGCTCTCCTCGAGAAGGCCAGGGCCTACATGGACTATGAGGAAAGGGAAGCGTCCAATAGAGCCCGTGACCCCAGAACTCGCGGATCCAGCAACAACCCGCGCCAAGAAGCCGTTCCTCCTCGACGGACCGGGGAGAAAAGAAAAGACGACAAACCCCAAGAAGTCCGAGAACAGAGAGGACCCTCGGGGCGTTTCACAGAGTACACTCCACTCACGGCTTCCCGTGAGCGTATCTTGGCGGAGTGTGCTAGTACATATTTCAAGGATGGTGGCGTCAAGTGTGACACCCCAAATAATCCGATTATTAAATAATTAGAATTTTTAATTATTAATTTAATTGGAAATTTAATTATTGGTATTTTTGGATTATTGGAATTAATTTAATTAATTAAAGGAAAGAAGTATTGGTGGTGTGAAGAGTGATTAGAGGGTGTGAGGGGTAAAATACTCTACTCTTACTAATTACTAATTTAATTATTTTATTGGAATAATAAAAGGAGTATTAAAAGGAAAAAGAAGAGAAAGAGAGTTATTTTGGAATATTCATCATACGTGCATTTGAGAAGAGGAAAAAGAAGGAGAAAACCGGAAGCGTCAGAATTCGAAGAACCCACAAGGTAAGGGGTGATTTCGATTAGTTAATTCGTATTATCGGTTTAGATATTCAATAGTATGGATCATAGTATGTTAGGGAATCCCGGTTTGGAATTCTAGGGTTCCGTAGAATTGTCCCTATTGCGTCGAATTGTAGGTTGAAAACCATTAGGGTGTCAGATGATAAAAAGGAATGATGAAATAATGTTGTTTGATGTTATAATGGTGCAAAATGGATGTGTTTTGGTGTTTCTCATGTTGCAATTCGTATGGGTATGTTTGGAATTGGTTTAGAATGAATAAATGCTATCAAAAGTGCAGAATTTGACTCTGCAGGTCGTGGGAACCGGTTCCCAGTGGGGAGGAACCGGGTTCCACTGTGTGAATTTATAAAAACAGGCAAAAATGCACGTAGGAACCGGTTCCTGTATAGGTAGGAACCGGGTTCCCATACATTTTTCCAGAAGCGTGATTTTTGAACTTTGCAGGAACCGGTTCCTGCATATGTAGGAACCGGGTTCTGCTGTAACTTTTTGAAAAATATTAAACTTTGAAAATTCATAACTTTCAAACCGTAAGTCCGTTTTGAGTGTCGTTTTGGACGTTATTTCTTAAATTTAATGCTTTATTTTATAAAATGAAAAGATTTCCTAAAACCTGAAATTATTTTGAAAATGAGTCAAATCCCGGAATAAGTGATTATTGGCTAACGCACATTGGTGTGTATGTAGCAGTGAACCTGTGATGGATTGATGTATTAGTATTGTGTGAATGAAAGGCATGTTTATGTTGCTAATGATGGTGTTCATGATCGTTGAGACATCATGTTTTTGGTTTTGGTTCAGTTATGATAAATTGATGTATTTCATAGACTGATTTGATGTTGCATGCTAGTGATGTGCGTGCATATGCATTGTTTTGGTGAAGTTAATTCCCATTGTGTGGAATTTGACTTGTATTGCCGTTAATCGATACTCGGGTGATGATGGGTGGTTAGGCTGGATTCGTGTCCGGGTGTTTATGGACGAATCGATGGTTGCTGTATCCGGTTGATGATGGATCAGTGTTGGGTGACTTGGTCACGTGTTGGTACCACATGCATTGTGTCTGCATTTGTGTTTGCATGGAATTGTAACATGTTAGGATGTCTTCCAGTGTTACAATTCTTTGGTTTATTATTGATTTGTGCATAATGACTTGTATGATTGGAACTGTGTGTTGAATCTGAATTTATGCTAAAATGGGTGAAATAATATGCTTGTGATATAATGTTGATTGAGAAGCTTATAATGCATGTTAATTATGAGAAATCTCATCCTTACTTTAACAATTTCAGATTAAAGTTAGCAGCTCAGGAGTTGGTGAGGATGGCTCTAGAGCTATGTTACTTTAAGT